AAAATAATATTTATTACGCAAAATTACAATTGTAACAGCGAAAAAAGCTCGGACAATTTAGCGAAATTTCAAGAACATCAACTTTTCGACTATATTTGTAACTTAAATAAAATAATAATTATAAAAGTTATAAAAAAAAACAAATGGTACGAGTCCGCTTGATTAAGAGTTTTTTAAATATCAAAATTTTTATATTAAAACTCAATTCAAAAGACGATTAATATTAAAAAATATAAATTTTTTAATACAAAATTTTTGATTTTCAAACAAATTCAATCGATAATCAAACATTATTTATTCTATTAATTATTAAATTGTTAATAAAAAGATTTTATACTTGGTTAGACTTTTAAAGATCTCGATTACGCCGATCTATGCATCTAGTTTTGAATAATATAGCAATATTCGTTGCTAAGTTATTTCTAATACAAGTTGAAATAATTGAAATGGGACACTTGCTTGACCTGGGACACTTGCTTGTCCTGACTGTGACCGAGAGCCCGCAGGTCACAAAGTCAGTGCACTGACTATTACTCCACTATTTTTCCTATTCGGACACGACGCCCTTGACGACGACTTTACATAAACACAGACTTGAAATCAGGGGGTTAGTACATATAGATGGAAAAATCTCCACCCCACAGAGCCTACGCCGCATCTAATCTACACGCCTACGACATCTCGTCAGAGGTAAGAAGGACGTCAATACAGACACAGATGTCCAAGACTTGAAAGTGCCAAAGCTGGTACACACATCACCACCCGAGTTTTTTGAACGCTTGTGCAGTCCAATGATCTTGGATACGGATTATCTCGTCCACCACCGCCGAGTATGAGAAAGCCGAGCTTCGACATGGAAGGGAGGCTTGCCGCTTCAGAATTGTTGTGGTGCTGAATTCCATAGGTGGTGATACGTCGAGCTCTGAGCCGCCTGCGGCTACTGGGTTGAGCAGGGCTGGTGGCACAGGGGGATTTTCGAACTGGGGAATGAATTGCGAACCATGGAGCACAAGAACGTGAATCAACTGCCGTATAAGACCATGGAGAACTTCGTTCCAGCCCGGACAAGCCATCATAAAATTAATATTAGTTGACCCTCTCTCTCTCTTTCTCTCTCTCTATCAATTATTTTTATTTTACAAACAGCCCTGCCTAAAAGCCCTCTTCGCAAGCTCCGGCTTGGCACCAAGAATATCGGGGTATTTCCATCTGAACCCGTGCTTCATCCACAACTTGAACTTCTCCCTTTTCTTCATCTCCTTCCAGCGCTCTAGCAGAACAGCCTGCTCCTCTAGACTCTTCGCCTTGTACGTCGGACCCACCCAGCACAGGAACAGCCACCAGATGCAGCACCACGCGTACGGCAGCCCTCTCTTGCGGTGCTTGCCGAGCATGAGACCCTTGAACGAGACCCAGCTCTCCAGCAGGCCGACGAAGAACCAGATGAGGAACCACCCGACGGGAACCAAGACGCAGAGGAGAATCAGCGGCGTCCAGTAGTTGTAGTCATCCCTGTCGTAAAAGCTACTGCTGGATCTCGACGAGGAAAAATCATAAGACCATGCCTGCGTGCACAGCGCGGTAGGTGAGGTGTAGCATTTCGTAGTCGGCATATAGCAGTTCGACATGTAGTACGACTCTGGCGCGTAGGTCGCAGACGCAGATGCGACGTCCGATGAAGCGATATCCGAGGGGTTCAAAATGGCAAGGACTTCGGTGTACATGGTCGGGTTGAGGTGCTCAAATGAGTACGTGGACACAGACGTGGATAAAGAGGCAATAGTTGGAGTGACGATCGCGGGGACGTAAACGGGGACCATGGAGGTGAGAGTCCAGTTCTGCGAGCAAGTGGCATCCGGACTGTATGTGATAGGGACGACATACTGAGTCTCGAGATACAAAGATTCCGAGTCGTAGGATGCATACGGACGTGCGTAGTCTGGAGCACTCTCGAGGAGGATCTCTACAACTGTAACTCCTGCGTACTCGGCCGAGGTTGTGACTGTGGATAGCGCTGAGTAGGTCGTCGTAGGGACATTGGCGGGGTATGTGTAAGTCGCAAGAGACTCTGCATATGTTGTTCCAGAATAAGTGGTATAGGCGCGCGTTCGATCAGACTGGGTGTAGCCCTCAAGGGTATAGACAGAGAGTACAACGTAAGAAGTGACAATATACGGAGCGGCAAATACCTCGAGCGTAAGCAGCGAGCAGAAAATAACCGAAAGCGACTTCATATCAAAGTACGGCAAATGGGCGAGTATAGACCTCTCCAGGTATGTTATATCGATCGAGTGTATAACCGGTACGTTAAACTTGAAGTCAATGTCGCAGATCCCAATCCCCCTTATAGGACTAAGAACAATCCGCGCTTAACGGGTGACAGGAAAGGTGTGATGAAGTTGACAACACCAAAGGAGCTCAGGAGCAGCCCCTCTCCTACTTAAGCTTGTTCTGACTGCTCTGGATCATTTCGCGGGAAGTTTATGGTGCACAAACTCCACAAAGGGACGCGGTAAGATTGCTTTCAGGGGAGATCGAGACCCGAAATAGCGATGCTGTGCCGCAATTGGCCTTACCGAGCACATATTCTCTTCAAGGGGTCCAATGTAACGTCGACGGGAGGCATACAGAGAATTTCTGCATCTATCATGTACGAGAATTAGCGGCGAAAGCTGAATCTTATGAGAGAAATGGTTGGAGGTGGTGGCAAGATTCTGCCACGTTAATGCCACCTAGCCACGAATGTTAGAGACCATTCATTCTATTTCCGTGCAGCAGGCAATCATAGCGAGTCTCAGGAATGTCTTCGTCAATTGTCAAGAACCTGCTTAATTATATGCAAGCCGAGGCAGAAACACACAGCAAACTGTTCACCCAACCGAAACGCTCCATTCTGATTAACATAATGCTCGCAATACGCCCCCAGACACAATTTTATTACTCGCCATGATCCATCTTGCACATTCCACCTACCGGAAGACCCACTCACTGGGCGATTAGATGTAAACTCCGGTCAATAAAAAGCAGGATACTTCTGACTGTGGACCAACAAGAGCTTGTAGGCAACATCGATCTGGGCCAGTGTTCCTTCAATGCACAGTGTTGCAGATACCCCACCTCGAAGAGTTGAGACTGATGCTCCACTTTGGCGTGTAATAGAGAGGATAACTCGAGAGCCGTCTGGTCCGTTATCGAGGAGAGCATCCTGAGCCTCAATAGAAATTTCCAGCCGCTTCACAGATTCAGCAGCTGAGAGAGTAACGGTAGCGAGCTTCGAATTGTTGAAAGTCGACTTGGGGGCATCTGGGGTAGTACTGACGGCCACATTTGGGAGAGGCTCTCGGTCTAGGGTGCTCTGCTCCTTGTTGGCCTCGGGGTGACCCAACTCGACGATTTTGTGATCAACTTCGATCGGTGCATCAGACTTGAGGTCAATTTGGGGCTCTGGTAGAGTCTCTGGGAAGGTCGAATCTGCCTGGTTTATGGTGACCGGGACTTGCAACGAAAGTGTTTGTTCTTCTTCGAAAAGGCTTGGACTTGGAGATCGTGGCTCACTAGCTAAGCTGGCGATAGTGGACCATGTTTTCCAAGCACGCTCTACTGCATGTTAGCGCTACTTCATTTCTACTTCAGCTTCCTGCGCTTACTGAGATATCCGAAACCCTCGTTCTGGCCTGTTTGCTGCTCTGTATCGACTAAGATGCGTTTAGAATAATGACAGGCTGCTGGTAAATGGGCCAGTGGAGTCACTAACCCTCAGACTGGATACTTCCGGAGATGTTACTGAGGGGTTTAGAAGATCCTAAATCACATCAGCGCTGTAATAATTCACGTCCTGACAACTTCGCCTCGCTTACCATCGAGAGCGTACGTAGAGACTTGAGCCTTGAAATGGTTGGATGAAGCTGTCCAGTATCAGAAATGCTCTCAGTTCTTGGGACGAGAAGCTGCAAGTTTGAACACACTGAAGCTTTCGAAGTTCACCTTCATACTCTTTGGGCCTTGTTCATCTCGCTCTTCCTGATCAGCCAGAACAGTGGTGCCTTCAGCAGCAGCAGCAGCAGCAGCCGCTGCTTTAGAAGCCTCTCTGGAGCGTTGGAATCGAATATACTTGCCGATAGACATGTTGATCCGTGATGTTTGCGCATTGGATGAACAGAATTGGGTCGCAGTCGATCGATCTTCTTCAACGCACGTGTATGGTCATCGTTGATGGATGTGCGGGACACTGTTTTCTGTGAATTCCTCGTGGAGGACTGCTGCTTGACAGGAGGAGAATGAGGAAGGCGAGGAGGCCGATATCCAGAAATTGAAGGAAGGAAGCCATCTCACGAAGAAATTATCCTGTTGGACTCGGCAGGAACCACTTGTCTCGCTTACCAAATTGCTTCACTTCTCTTGCATCTCGCCAAATACCTCTTGATCACCATCACCAATCTTCAACAACCTTGGTCTCGGAACATAGATATATAATTTTGGGCTTTGAAGGGGTTGCATTGTATTGTATAGAAGGGGACCGAGGACGGTGCGGGATTTGGCGACTCCCCCCCATACATGCATCACAAGCCGGTTCTTGGTTGATTTGTTCGATTCTTGTCTTTCATTATGGGTATGTGAATGGACCCGGGGACCCGGGGACCAGGTGACCAGGAGACCAGGAGACCGGGAGACCAGGTGACCAGGGGAACAGGTGACCCTCATCCAGCCTTCAGTTTCCCCTCATGCTCCTGCCAGAAATTCTTGCAAGCCCGATGTCCCCAATGTTCAACCCACCACTCCCCAAAACTATCCTCGACAGTCTCGTCCACCTTCGCCACCCGCTCCTCCCTCCTCAAGCCACAAATCAAACAACACTTCGGAGCTGTCAGAGCCCCCTCCTGGCACTTCACAAGCATCACCTCCGAAATCTCGGGAATAGCCAGATGTAGCTTCACGTCCTTTAAACTCGTGTTCGCTACCGCAACCGCACTCTTCAACCGTCCCAGATGCTCTTTCCACACTCGCACAAGATCAGCTGCTTCCCGCTCCTCACGCACCAGTTCGGTTTTATCGACACCCGCCAACTTCATCCCGCCTTTACCTCCCGCAGCCGCTGGCCCGATTTTCATCGCTTGAGAGAGCCGCGTGTCACGTTTCCAGCGAAGCTTACGCCCCGCGATGATGCGGGCGGCTACTGTAGCGATCAGGAGATAGGCGCGCAGGAAGTCGATAGTGGCGGGGTTGGAGAGGATGCGGTTCTTGAGGGAGAAGGGCTGATTGGCCACTGCTTTGAAGAGGGAGCTTTGGGGAAGGTCGAAGAGATGTGGGAAGAGGGCTAATATGACTGAGGGAGGTGGGATGTTGGTTGGTGGTGCTTCGTTTACGGGGGGTGCTGGCTCTTTTGCTGGTGACAGGATGCCGTTTGCGTTATCCCATTTCCAGACGTCTGCTTCAATGACTGGTGCTGTTCTGGGGAAATTTATAGCCGGTGTGTCTGCAGGTAGGTCTGTGAACTTGCCCAACTGGTCATCATCCAGTGGATTCGGTGCAGGTGAATCCAAGTATGGATGTGGTTTGGGGCTTTCATGCTCCGGCCAAGGAGTGACTGGGGAGGCAGCAGAGTCGGGAGCTGAAATATTCTTTACAGAAGAGGGTTTTTTAGTTACTGTTGCTATAGCTGGTAAGTCACCAAAACGATCTCGCTCTCGAAACGAAGATTTTTCTGGGGCTTGAGAATATGGCAAGCCACCTGGGGGGAGACCATTTGAGCTAACCAACACGCCCGCGTGTTCCATCGGTGGTTTTGCCGTCAAGCTAATCGTACCAAAAATCTGCTCAAGGGAACGAGAGGGAAGTTGTGCCGGTGGTGCCTCGGGAACTGCCACCGTCTCGAACTCCCCAAACTCGTCGTCGTCGTCCGCCTCTGCAGAAGCTTCGTCCGCGTCAAAAAGAACATCTCCAGACGAAGGTTGCCGACCGGGGACGGGCTTTTTAGTTTCCACAAGACTCGGAAGTTCTTGCATATTGTTGGCAAACAGGTCAATCGTAGAACTTCGAGCTCTCGTATGCCCCCTCTGAGCGATAGCTTGTGCAGCTGGTGTCTTCAGTCCTCCAAGCCACCGTTCCTTTTTGGCAGTGACATTGACCTGTGCCGGTGCCTGAGGCTTGTCAGAGGCGGAGGCTTCCCAAGAACCCCATAAATCCTCTTGTATGGCCGTTGAATCTGATGCAGGAGCACTTGTTTGGATGTCGCTCATGTCTCCCCATATGTCTCCTCCCGACGCCTTCGCTGGGGCTTGTGTACCTTCTGCATATCCCGGCGTTCCCGACTGCCCCGGGTTGCTCAAGAAGGAGAGGTCGTTCGATGCAGGTACAGCTGCAACCTTCTTGTCTGTAGGGGGAGTATAAAAGCTATCGAACTCGGCGAGCAGGTCTGCGGACATATTGACGAGGCCAAGGAAGAGGATGTGGTGCCGAGCAAACAGATACCGGTACACTCAGGGGATATTTAGTTGTATGTTACTTACCGGGTGGATCATGGTTGGCTGACAGGGCTGCTTGCGGGCAACGCTGAAAGTGCTTGTTTAAGTCGATATCTGATCCAACCCAGACAAGTTGTTTAGATGGCAAGAGAGTCTCGAGCTCTCTCCGAAATGAGGAGCACACAATGCTGCCCCTTTTTCCTTTGGTGGCGGGGCGTGGCGTGGGATATGCGACGATGTTTGCGATGATGTTGGAGAAAAGTCAAGGTGGTGAGTTCGATCTCAGCCCAGCCCAGCCCAGCGGAAGGGAAGGGGGAAGGCTGAGCCGGACGCCCAGAGAAAATTGCCGTGATTGGCGGACCTCGATTTTCGCTAAGAAGGATAAGTAGAGCTCCGTAGAGTAGGTACAGTCAGGCAGGCAGTCGGTCAGTCGGTCAGTCGGCCAGTAATAAATATACGTAGCAGCAGATATCGACCCAAAGCCACATCAGAGTGACGAGCGACCCCTTACACCTACCTACCTACCTACCTATACCTACCTACCTACTCAATCTACCTGATATACATCGTCTCTGTACAGCCTCATCCCTTCGTCAAGAGATCTTCTGAGGTTCTTAGCGGCTTGAACCAGAACCGGTACGATAGTGATGCGTTCGTTGGATGAATCGAGGTTGCAACCTGCGCGCATCATGGCCTGTTGTCTCACTAATCTTCTCTCAGGAAACGCTGGCAGATCACGACTGGGCATGCTGCAAGCCTCGATTGTCTCAAGAAGTCCGTGAGGGTCGACAGCGAGGATAGCCCATGCGTCTCTGGACTGAGGTCGGTCTGTTGGAAGGCACGTCTTGTCTTTTTTTCTGACTAGGCCCATTCAAGCAGCAGGCTAACCGGCTTCTCTTCTCCAGACTTTTCTGCTCTTCCAGAGCACCGAGATCACGACTTGGTCACGCGCTCTGGTTGACTCTCGGGGCGCCTACACGTCTCTTAGGGAGCACTTTCTACGTTTCATCGAGAACCCAGACGAGATCGGTTCTGCGCTGGATCCGTTAGACGACGATCAACATGTAGGTCGCTCAAGAGATTCCTGCCAGTTTCCTCGCTGAGACTCTCAGTCCCCCTGGAATAGCCTACGGCAGGATGAGGAGGTCCGGGCAGAGATATTCCAAGATGTGGAAAGGTGTATGCCGGACGAACCCTACTTCCGACGCCCAAAGACTCAGACAATCCTGCTCGACATCCTGTTCATCTTCTGCAAGATCAACCAAGATGTAGGGTATCGACAAGGTATGCACGAGCTGCTTGCTCCCATTCTTTGGGTATTGGAACAGGATGCTATAGACTATGGAAGGGATGGTGACCAGGGACAAAGCCCTGGTGAAGATTTGCTTCTGAAGCAGATTTTGGACCCGGCGTATATTGAGCACGATGCCTTCACACTTCTCTCACTGGTGATGCGGTCTGCAAAATCCTTCTATGAACTAGGTGAGCCGGATCGAGAGGCAAGTACCGCTTCAAGTCCGCAGCAGAGCGCCTCGCCCATCGTTGAGAGAAGCAAAAGAATCCATGAGATCTATCTAGCTCGTTTAGATCCAGAGCTAGCAAAGCACCTCATAGACATCGAGGTTTTGCCGCAGATCTTTTTGATGTAAGCTTTCATGATCGTCCCTATAATCCTGGGTGCTGATGTATCTCGAACAGCCGCTGGATACGACTCCTCTTCGGCCGTGAATTTCCATTCGACGACCTGTTGGCCTTGTGGGATACCCTCTTGGCAGAGGATCCTGGTCTAGATCTGGTCGATATGGTCTGTGTAGCCATGCTTTTGAGAATTCGGTGGCAATGTAAGTAGTTCTGGTTTTGAATCGGAATATTTCTGACCCCCCCCTAGTAATCGAAGCGAATTACTCATTTGCTCTAATGTTATTACTCAAATACCCAGCACCCGCTGCCCCAGATGGCCCACAAACTTTTGTGGATGATGCCATATTCCTTCGGGACAATTTCAGTGCAGCTGGTGGCGCAGAGATCATAAGCAAGTACAGTGGAAAGACACCATCTTTGCAGTCCTCGGACTCGAGACCTCTGACGCCACTTGGTCAAGCCCTGAGCCCAAAACGCAACCCGATAAGGACAAGGTCCCAGCTGTCATCGCCAGCACGATTCTTGCAGCAACAAGGAGGGGTTGAGGCACTACTTCAAGGCGCTGCTAATCGAGTGTTCGACCGAGCGGAGCGACTCGGCATCAACCAAGCAGTTCGAGACGCTGTTGGCGAAGCGAAGAAAAACATGCAAGGTTTCCAAGCATCGAGAAATGATTCTAGGCGAAGAACGTCGGAAATTATGAGATGGTCACTCGATGAGGGTAGATCAGTCCCCAACCCTAGAACGGCCATGACGGCAATACACAATCGCAATCAGCAACTTGCACGTATGCTGGAACAAGCGATGGCCGACCTACGAGCGGTCTCGATTTCGCCTGATGGAAATAAGGAGAAATATGTCCAGGCGATGGACATGGCAATTGCCAAAGTAGAGTTCGTCAAGGTCTACTTGGAGGATTCGACAATGCCTCTTCCAGAAGAATTACAATCCGATCCCCCATCTCCCAAAATACCAATACCTGATTCTCCACAACTCCCACCACACCCCCCTACACAAATTGCGACGCCAGAGCCACCAGCTTTGTCAATTCTAGAAGCAGTGACTCCATCACCTGCAGCCAAAGATACAAGCGACCGGCTGCAGTCCACTCAAGACACGCAGTTGAAGTCAGATTCTATACCTGTCCCAGCTCCGGTAACGCCGACCATAAAAGTGCAAGAATCGAGCGCCAGATTGGCAGAGCAAACATCGTCCACCAGACCAAAAGCCCCAGTCCCCACGCGCTCAACCATCGCACAGTCTAGTTTTTCTTGGATGTTGGAGCCGGATGATCTCTCAGGGTCTTCGGCCAAATCCTCGTCTCCGAATTCCGGGTCGCCATTCCTCAAGTCTGGCCGACGTCCAACTTCCGGGCCGAACCGGGAGAAGGCCGCATACTTGTTTGGTGAAGAAGGAGCAGAAACACGACCGCCTTTACTCCAAGAATCGCAAGAGGTCTTTAATCTCGGGTCTATAAAGGGAGCCAGGGCAAATGATGGATGATGGGGCTCACAGTCGGGCTGATTACTAATGCTAAAGGCCTTCTGCCCAGCCTGCTCATCTGCCCATAATGCTGATCTTTGGGGCCACGGCCTCTCTCTCGACGAAGAATGAATGAATGAATGAATGAATGAATGAATGAATTAATGAATTAATAAATTAATGAATTAATGAATGAGAGATACACCTACATCAACTTACCTACTACTGCGGCATTGCCGATTTAGGAATGGTACGGGTGGAGCAAACAGCCAGCGGCAGAAAATATGCATTGCACCCTGCTCCAATATGATAGTCCAATATTGGCTAGGACTACCTGCCTAGTACCGTCCGTACTTTCTGGTGAAGCTTTTCGTGCTGATCCATGGAATCATTGGTTAGCAAACTGGATGTCGTAACCAATCCGAAAGTTGGGCTTTGTGATTTGCATGCGTCCCGTGATTGTTTTGCGGCAGCCTCTATGCATCTGGCATTCATTCCAGCGGGCATTGAAGCTACCGGTACCTACTCCGGCTACTCAGGCTACTCAATCACATCACTGTTTAGTAAGGCCAGTCTACTGCCCGGCCACCCCTGCTTGTCGTTACTCGCTTAAGGACCCCGCGATTTAGCGCGGAACTAGCTTAGCGTCCGCCCAAGCACTAGTTGACAGTATCAAAAACCTCTCTGGCTTTGTCTCGAACTTCCTCTCCCTCACCACGAACGAACGAACATCCGATCATTGCATACACCTCTGCACCCTCGCCCTCCTCCTCAAACCTCAACCCTCAACCCTCTTCCGCCCGCCCGCCTCCTCCATCCACCTTCATCCACCTCCATCCACCTCCATCCAACCTCCATCCGCCTCGACTTCCTTTGCGACCCTCACACCCCAGCTTCCTCCTTTATCCGGATCCCTTTCACCCCCCCCCCCCCCACCCCACCTCCTCAACTCAATTCCTGCGACCAGTCGGCGCACTCCTTGCAACCACTTTCCACGGTATGCTCTGTTCTTCTCCTACATAAGCCCCCATCTCGAAGCTTCATCTTTATTCCATGACTCTTCGCTCTGTATCATATTCACCTTCCTGTCCAATTGCTGATATTGTGCAGACCCAAAGTGACCGATCACAACTCACGTCCTCACCCAGTGTTTCACTGATCACCGAACCTTAACATGTCTACCCCCCAAGACCTCTCGCCCACCGCCGACGAGCTTATCGACAACATGAACCACCTCGGCGTTGCTGGTGGCGAAGAGAGACTCGGACCTGACGGCGAACCCCTCCCTAAGACCGACGAAGAGTATGGCGAGTCCCAGCTCACCCTCCGCGCTATCGTCTCCTCCAAGGAAGCTGGTGTCATTATTGGCAAGGCCGGTAAGAACGTTGCAGATCTCCGCGACGAGACCGGAGCCAAGGCTGGTGTGAGCAAGGTTGTCCAAGGTGTCCACGACCGAGTTTTGACTATCGCTGGAGGATGCGAGGCCATATCCAAGGCCTATGCTATTGTTGCTAGGGCTCTATTGGAGGGTGCACCGCAGATGGGTATGGGAGGTGTTGTCTCCACCAGTGGCACTCATCGTAAGTAGCATCTAGGCACATCGATACAACGATCCCTACTGACGCATAGCGTAGCAATCAAACTATTGATTTCTCACAACCAGATGGGTACGATCATTGGCCGCCAAGGTCTTAAGATCAAGCATATTCAGGATGCTTCCGGAGTCCGCATGGTCGCACAGAAGGAGATGCTTCCACAATCGACCGAGCGCATCGTCGAGATCCAAGGTACCCCCGAAGGCATCCAAAAAGCCATATGGGAGATTTGCAAGTGTTTGATTGATGATTGGCAACGAGGAACCGGTACCGTCTTGTACAACCCAGTTGTCCGAACCCAACCTGGTGGAGGACCAGGAATGGGCCAGGGTGGTGGCGGTAACGGCCGTGACAACTACAACAGCAGCCCACGTGTCATGCGCACTGGAAACGGAAACGACTTCAGCGAGAACGCTCCCCGAACCTACAACAGTCGCCGTTCCAACTCTGATGCCGGTCAGCGTGGACCACCTACTCACGATGAGAACGGAGAGGAATACCAGACCCAGAACATCAGCATTCCGTCTGACATGGTTGGATGTATTATTGGACGTGCTGGCAGCAAGATCAGTGAGATCCGCAAGTCATCCGGAGCCCGTATTAGCATTGCCAAGGCACCTCATGACGATACCGGCGAGCGTATGTTTACCATCATGGGGACCACCAAGGCCAACGAGGCCGCTTTGTACCTGCTGTACGAGAACCTCGAGGCTGAGAAGATGCGCCGAAGCCAGAACAACGCTCAGGAGTAGGGTGTTCCTCTGTATTCCTCCGTTTTCGATTTTCTTTTCATGCAGGCAAACATCTTAAGTCCTCGCCAGATCTGACTTGCCGCGAGACTGATACGGCGAGGGATCTTTGTCAGTCTGCAGCAAATTCTTTAATGGACCAATTCTCCTTACGTCAAAAGCACTCTCGGCACCTTGTTTCTTTACTTTCTTTTCTCGTTACGACTACGGACTTTTACGAAATTACGGTCATCAGCAGCAACTTGATGGTGTACTCAGGTAGCGCATCTCCTCCAATGTCACTTTCCCTCGATACTCGACACTGACGATTCGCCTTGACCCTCAATCCCCCGACTCGAGACACCGACACCCTGTCTTCGACATTATGTATTCTGCTAAATCCGACGTTCACCCAATTCGAATTTTGCACGAGAATCGACCTAATCTCGTCATTCATCCGGCCATGACCTCCCTTCTCATACAGTCCCGAAAATCACCAATCACCACATTGCCCTGCCCTACTCCATACCAATATCAATGCCAGAAACCGCCTGGACTTTATTCGACGCTCTTGTCATCAAGATTTTGCTCCCTGCACGCCATTGTCTCTCAGCTCGCTTGCCCGGTCTCCGCGGTCACGTCGACATCTGAATCTCTGGAAAGATGTAGGAGGATCTAGTCGTAGACTATCAGTCGTAAACTAGTCGATCTGAGATTCTGAGCAATGACAAAATCAATGAACTTCACTTGGGATTTTGACTATCATATGACAGATGTGAACTAATTCCGTACCTCTTACTCAGGCCTGATGTTATTTCTATACCCGGTACTGAGACAGTGACCCAGCATCCCACTCGTTTGTCTATCCAACGACATTGAAAGCCGACACTGTCTTCAAGCCGCTGTACATACGCTCACGCGAACCTCTACTGCGCCTCGCAAAGGCTCTCATCTAAAGCATCCGTCGATCAAATCTCGCCCTCCCCTCTCATATGTACAAAGGCTACCCGCGCCCTCCATTGTAATCTGCGCCCCCGGCCTTCCTCAACCGCACCACAATGTCCCCCTCGTCCAGATCCCCCTTGTCCCTCGCATCGACCTGGATGCTGTGGTGTCCCAATACGCGCTTCACGGCGCCGCTCTCGATGCTCACCCGCGCCTTCCGCATCACCTTGGTCCCCTCGCCGATCCAGATGACGAGGACGAACTTCACACGCTTGGACTCGGTGTCATTCGCGTACTCGACGCGGACGTAGGCGTACTGCGCCTGCGAAGGGTCGAGTTTGGATTGGAGCTCGGGTAGGCCGCCGGTGCCCGTTTCGGAGAGGATCACTGAGAAGGAGTAGGGAGGTGAGTTGGTATACCAGGATTTTGCCATGAGTTTTACCTTTTCTTTCCTTTATCTTTTCTCAAGGAAGAGTAGGGGGTATGGGGTGTATATGGGGTATAGGTAAAGTCAAGTGGAGATAGGTATGGGAGAGGCAATGAATAGGGAGGTTAGTGTAGGAAGGGAGGAGAAGACTTTTGACTTACGCTTGTCGCCCGACGCGGATGCGTAGGAGATGATGAGCCAATTCGTTTCGGAGGTGTCGGAGCGCACATCATCATAGGCGGTCTTGATTTCGGGGGCGTCGACGCCGGACATGATGGGTGGATGGCGTTTTTTGTTCAAGTGTTCAAGAAGAAGAGGGAGAGGGAGAGGGCGAGGGCGTGGGCGTGGGTGTGGGAGAGGAGGGGTTGTTGATGGAGTGGAGTGGGCTTTCTTTTGGTGGAGGTTGATACAGCCCGCAATCGGTGACTTGGCTGAAGAGTTGAATCTCGGGATTGAAGTGAGAGGATTGCGGACTGCGAACTGCGGACTGCAGGCTGCAAAGGAATACTTTGAATCGTCCAGACGGGTATGAAAGTGTCAAGTATTGACTGAGATTCGAGAGCGAAGACAGACCGAGCAACCCCGTGTCAGATCGCGCTAGGATCTTTCACGCCCGCAGAACTGCCGCTATCCACCGACTCGGCCTCGCTACAAGGAGATAAGCGTCAGGGTCTTTTCTGGTGCAACAGGCTGCGTGCTCCGTGCAGAATTGTGGCCAGCTTGTCCCTCGCTCAGCCTTCTCTATCAAGTTCCAATTGCTTTCTCAACCTCCATCTCCATCTCCCCTTACTTTCTTCTTTCCTTGTTTTACTTGCAGACAGATTCACTTTCCTGGAATTTCCTTACCACGTTCATTTTTGGGGACAAGAAGAAGCAATGGCTCGAACAAAACAGGCGACCCCGTTGAGGAGAGAGCCTTCCTCCGAGTCCATGGGCAAGGCCGTCAACGAGACCCCGAGTCGCAGCGCAAACAAGTTGGATAAGGAGATCAATAGGAATAATGCTGCAATTGGAGGTGCAGCAGAAAAAATGCTAGAAAACGTTGTGCCAGGTGTGAAAGAGGCCGGCGCGTTGCAATTCCTGATCGCCGCTGGTGGGATATACGGGTCCTTGTAAGTACTCGGTGCTTCATCAACATTCAGAAAGTAAATGTTGATTCTGTGGTAGTCTCACCTGGGCGCTCCTCCAAGAGCGTCTTACAACTACACCATACGGATCCGCGGATGCGCCCGAGCTCTTCAAGTTCCCCGTCTTCCTCAATACGGTGCAATCTCTCTTCGCCGCCTTTGTCGGCTATGTCTACCTCCAATTCGACACCAAAAGCTCTGAGAGCGCCCCTATCTTCCCTAATCGCCGCATCGTCGTTCCGCTGTTCCTCGTGGCTGTGACTTCGTCCCTCGCTTCGCCGTTCGGCTACGCTTCATTGGCGCATATCGACTACATCACCTTCATACTCGCAAAGTCATGCAAGCTGCTCCCCGTTATGTTCCTCCACATCACGCTCTTTCAGCGTCGATACCCGCTATATAAGTACCTAGTCGTTTTGGCCGTAACATCTGGCGTTGCAGTCTTCACTCTGCACGCTGGATCGGGCAAGTCCAAGCCATCCAAGGCATCCATCAACCCGGATAGAAACAGTACTTGGGGACTTTTGCTTCTCGGAGTTAATCTACTTTTCGATGGCTTGACGAACACCACGCAGGACTACATATTCCAGAGTTTCCAGCCATACAAGGGGCCGCAGATGATGTGCGCCAATAACATTATGAGTACGCTTCTCACGTTCTCCTATTTGGCCCTGTCACCGTACCTAGTCCACACGGGCATAGGAGAGTATCTAGGCATGGATCTTACGTCAGGCGGTGGCGGCGAGTTTACCGAGGCGTTGGCCTTCATGGCTCGCCATCCGAGTGTCTGGTACGACGTTCTAGGCTTCGCGATTTGTGGTGCTGTCGGTCAGGTCTTCATCTGTAAGTCCCAACCTATTACTGCCCTCTCCAGTAACCCATGTCCCAGCAAGAGAGCCAAATAACTAACAAGTACAAAAGTCTACACCCTCTCAACCTTCTCCTCCCTCCTTCTCGTAACCATTACCGTCACCCGGAAGATGCTCACCATGATCCTGTCCGTCATCGCTTTCGGCCACACCCTCGGCGGCAAGCAGTGGCTGGGCGTCGGCCTCGTGTTCGGTGGTATCGGCGCCGAAGGCATCATTGCGCGCCGGGAGAAAGCCGCCAAGGAGGCAGCTAAGAAGAAGCAGAAGAGCGCAGTCACGAAGGAGTTGTAAAGACACAAAGGCAAAGTGAAAGAGAGAATTATCACGAAAATTATTTAGTCGAGGGAAGTAGAGAAAATAAGAAAGAAGAATAGAAAGAGACCAGAACCTGCCGGGTGCATAAGGTGACGATATGGGATCTACATGACCCTTTTCTTCTTATACTTTCCTTCTCTCGTGTGTACCTATATATATATATATCTATATCGGGCCGGGCGTCTAGGAACCGGGATCTTTCTTGACAGGCGTTGGCTCTTCTTACTTACCTACCTTCCCTACCTTTCCCTACCTCAGTCACCTAGCCTAGCTAGCTCCACGAAGCAAGATCCTTTTTACACGCTAGATAGATAGATAGATACCTAGAATCCTAGATAGACACATACCTAGATACCTAGATAGACACATACCTAGATACCTATATAGACACATACCTAGATACCTACATACCTATATATATATACACGGGGCACCGGGTACATCTGACTAAGTAGGTAGGTTTCTGGTTTCTTCCGACGTTGACGTCGACGCCTAAATTTAGATAGATAGCCATCCATCCATCCATCCCATCCCATCCCATCCATCCACTCGCATCCCTTCCCTGTTTTAGCTATCGTAGGTTCCCAGTTCCTAGGGTTGAAGGAGTAGAAAATGAAGAAGGAGAAGAAAGGAAAGGAAAAGGAAGAGGAAAAAGGAAAAAGGAAAAAGGAAAAGGAAAAGGAAAAGGAAAAAGGAAAGAAATCCTGACATACAACGTTTGGGACACCTTGATTGGAGAGGTTAGAGAGAGAGGCAAAGAGAAGCTACTTAACTACCTACCTACTACTCCGTACGTATTTTGAAAACCACTTTACGCGTAAGACCCTTGGGAAATTACCCAGTCAGTCCTACGAGGAGATATCGTCGTGTTGTGATGCGGCTACACTTCACAATCTGCATTTCACATGTCTCACTTCTCGCATTATTGTAAGCATTGTGAAAGAATATCCGGAAACGTCATATTCCCTATCCCCATCCCATACCTAACCCCCGTCTCCCCTTTGCTGCTTTACTTGATACTCATTACATTTTACAAGTCGTGGCTTCTCCCTCTCTCATTCCGCCCCGCGCTCCCCAGACCCATACCCACAGCAACAGCCACTTGCTTCCTTGCCTCTCCCCCCTTCACTTGGAGAGAAAAGGATGAAAGGAGAAATAAAGAAAGGAACATGTACAAAAACGCCAAACAATGCACAACCAGAGCAAAGAATGATAAACGCCAAGTCGACCGCTCCCTCGCCACATGCTCATTCAAAAATGATGGCTGGCGCAACATTTATTTCGTCCGCTCGTTCAGTTGTATTACCTTTTCTCTCAAAACGCCAGAAGCACGCAGGAAAGATCCAATACCACTCAATCGATTGCTCGGCCAAGTCTCTTCTCCTTTCGCCCCTCCCAAGCCACAGTTCCAAACAGACCTTTAATCAAAAATGCGGGTTACAAACATTTGGGCGAGTTCTTTTCGGAGAACTGAATAGAACATTCCGTCAAACCGGCTCACCGAATCAATTCCGGTATGGGTCTTACGTACATCCTCGATTAGAGAAAGTCGTCGATGGAGCGTGTGATGGGGGCTTCGCCTTTTGTAGGCGGACTCCGAGGGTCATCGCCAACAGCCAAGGGAGCTCGAGATATGGGCGGGAAGAAGGACGTTCCATTGAATTCCATGGTCCGGGGAGAGAATAGATCTGGGATCGGAGAAGCTTCTGATTCGGGAAGTAAGCTGCGAGTCAGGCCTTGAATAGGATTTTCGGTCATCGCTTCCAGTCTTGGAGACATGAGGCTTTCCAGAGGGTCAACATTGATCTCCGGAGGGGGCATATTGTCGATAGTCATGCTCCCAAACCCAAAATCTCCAAATCCAAAATCGAAACTTTCCATTCTCGCGATCGCAGAGAGAGAAGGAGCAGGCGAGACTGCATTTTCTCCAAGCCTGCAAAAGCTGATTGGCTGTGGCATCGTTTCCACGGGCTCGGGTTGTGGCACTGTTTGCTCTGGCTCAGTCAACGTAGTGTCGAGCGAGACGTTGGGCGTGGAATTTCCTCGGGCGCGGCATGGGATTGAGGGCACTTGAAGAGTCGAAGAAACCCCAGCACCGTAAGCAGACAACGTAGGTCTATGTTTCACTGTGGGTTTCCGGACCGTGCTATTATTTCCCGCCTTCTTCGCCTCGATCACTTTCTTGAAGTCGGATAGGGAGAACAGTAGCGACATGTTAGGGTTTACCCAGCGTGATTTCGACTGCGCTTGAGAGTATGCTTCGGTTGAGCTCAGCTCTTGGTTCTTGTACATGTGATACGCGATGATCAAAGTTGCAGATCGGCTGGCACCTTGCTGGCAGTGAACGAGTACCTTCTTACCCTCCTTGGTCCGCTTATCAATGAGCTCACACAAGTCCCAGAGTTCGTCCTTGACATCTGTGTTGTGATCCCAGGGTACGTGGATATACTCTGGCAGAGACTTGTCATCATTGGGAGTTGGTGTGGTCGGCGTAGATTCAGCAGAGTGCGATGGCTGAAATTCAAAAGCTGTCTGGAATGAAAACGAGGAAATTGCTGTATCTGGAGGGCAGTCGCTAGAGATCGAACTAGTCCGTGAGACCTCCTCGGTCTGTGGCGCTAGACTCGTTTCCGCAGCCTTGAAAGGGTTCTTGACTTCTCTCGCCACGTTGATGATGACATCAAATTTCATGGCCTCTTCCGCCTTTGGCTCCAAGTAAAGATGGACACTGGGTTCGTGCATTAAGATGGGCCCTTCGGGATAAGAAGGTGACTTGGCATCGTCCCCAGAGTGGTGCCTGTCAAATGAGTCGCCGCCGACTGCTACTCCGGGGACTCTAGTGGCCATTTGAGTCCCTGCTGGGGCCTCATGAGTGTCCTCATCAATAGTGAAGGTTTGCATTGCCAGACTAGACTCCTTGAACCTGGAAGGTCCAAGTGCGGGTTTCCGTTCTCCTCCTAGTGTCATTCCTCCACTGGGCCCGAAGCTCGGTGTCGATATTTGGGGTGATGAAACCGAATGTTTTAGTCCTCTTCGTTGCAACATATTCGGAACCCCGGGCGATCCAGGTGGATTCACAGACAGAGCCAGCCTGTTGGCTGCCCCTGTGTTCAGACTCAATATACTCGGTTTCCGTCTCCCTGTCAGGGCCGGGGGTTTGATGAAGCTTGGTGAGGAAGGTTCAAGGGCTTGCACAGTCTCAATGCTAGCATTCAAGTTGAGAGCAAGGCTTTTCAAATTTCGCCCTTTGCGAGGGGAAGGAGAAGTCATGGGCCGCTCGCGCGGCAACTGTAGTCGAGGAGAGTTGCTATCGTCCATCTTTAAGCTTTGGAAAGAATCGAGACCAAAACTAGATCCAGGAAAAGAAGACAACGGCACCAGGGTATTGACGGGAGATTCCGGCGAAGAGTTAGGAGAAGGGTCAGATAGTGAAGACGAGTCAACAGTTGAGATCGTAGTAGTAGGTGATGAGTCGGTGGAGTCTGATGCCTGAGTAGACGTGCTTTCTCGGTGTTGGTGTGAGTGCGCGGCGTCTTCTTCCGTTTGTGGCCGTAGCACCGACCCAGGCGCTGAATGTGTACTGCTAGACAATTTCGGAATAGGTCCCAGACCTGGGCTTTCTAGCATCGCCATATCCATATCATAAACAGACATGAATGAGGGTATTTGGTTCTCATACATCCTCGGCCCAGCTGCTGACGATATCGTTGGGAGTTGAGAGTGCCTTTCTAAACTCATTGTATTTACCGAAGCCTCTTCTGCTCGGTATTTCGGGCCTCTCGTCGGAACTCCAACGATGCTTTCGACTGTGGTTCGCTTTGGAGACGGCGGGGTTGATATTGTGACGGCGGTAAAGGGTCTCTTTAACGTTCGACCGTTAGCATCTTGTAGACTTGCGATCGGGACCATGACTGCGTTACTTCGTATATCTTAAGATCAATTGAGACGGTAGCGTTCTAGAAAATCTTGATCACTGTTTAGCCGCAGAACAAACACAGACGTAACACGGGTGTCCCTGACACGAAGATTCGTCGTAGGATAGATGGAGGGGTAAACAGAAAGGTGAAGGTAAAGATGGAATGAAAGGTGAGGTATTACCGGGAGTTGTGCGGCAATTTGTTTTGGCCGATCTGACAGCAGACTTGGTGCTTAGCGCCCAAGTTTTCCCAAACAAGGCGCTTTGAGAATCGAGATGGAGGGCTGAATAAAGGTCGGGTCACCGCACGGACTTTCAGAGGCTAGAAGTGTTGCTCGAGGCAGAGAAGACAATGGCCACTATGAAAGACTCTCGAAAACAGCAAGGACTGGCCAACTTCCAACCTTCTTTGTCTCGTCGCAGAGACCGGTCCGCAAAGGTATCTTTTCGTGGTGGCTAGTAGTGTTTCGATACCTCGTAGTGGAGGGGCTGTGCGTTTGCTCGACCCTTTGATGTCGCGACTCACGGTACGGTAGTGGGTCGGGCCTGAGGATAGTGAAGTTGAAGGTGACAAGCAAGAACAGAGAGGGTGGATTGTGGAAGAGTCAGTGTCGGCGATCGGTCGGTCGGTCAGGGGTTGATTTGATTAGTGCTGGCCCGTACAGTAGTAAATGGTATGTAGCTAAGGAGCGCGTGTCAGCTCGTATGCAGCCACTCAGAACACGGAGAGCAGGCGCACCATCCAAAAATAGACGAGCCAGGCCAGTATGAGCGCCAACCGGCAGCGAGTAACGAGGCGGTGGAGAGGAAGATGCAGGGCACAGAAAGGCACGGGGCGGTTAAGAGCAAGATCAATTGTCGTGACAGACTCGATGGACCCCGGATACCAGAGCCTCCCGCCTGCAACAAAGCCAGTATTATGTGTAGGGGTGGTGTTCGTGTTCGTGTCCAAGAAGGAATCCCTTCTAGGTCTCTGCGCGTGTTCCTCCAGGGACCAAGAATTTGTAGAGACTACGAAGAATATCGGTGGCAAGTGTCGAGAAATTATCGATTACTTTCAGAGTCTGGATTCGTCGTGGATGCCTCGTGGCGGGCAGTCGTGTCGAGGATGCGAGGAAATCGAGGTTGTGGCCACGGATTGTGGGTCGCCACTGGTTACAAGACCGTGTCGAACTGAACGAGGCCCTGTCACTATCCCACTTCTGCAGAAGGTATGCCCGTCCAAGGATGGTGACAAAGGAGCAGATGGTTTGCGATTGGCGATTGATGGATGAATTGCGATGGTTGGGGTCGGGTTTGGGGTTGTATGGTTGAGAGAGAGGGGAGGATGGGTAGGCAGGTCGGTCGGTCGGTCGGTCGCTGGTCGCTTGGTAGGTAGGCAGGTAGGTAGGCAAGGTGGATAAAAGGGTCTCAACACAAGGAGATCAGTGTCAACAAACCGTCGCCGGACGGGAGTAGAGGGTAGGGGGGGGGAGGGAGGTCGATTAGAAGTATATAGAGGACAGGAGGAGAAAAGAATGATGTTGGGTAAATGGGAGGAACTGGCGACAAACGGCCGGATTGGGGTTGCGTTGCTTTGGGGATTCGATGCGATGGAGGCCTGAGGCACCTCGATCTATTCCTGGCGGTTTCATACTTTGCAGGGACCGCAGTTTGATTGCATATGCCCCATCACGTGCCCTGGGACCAACATCCGCGGATCCCTTAAATAAAGGTTGGCGTGGCCACGGTGGCACGAGCCCAAGTTCCAACTAATACCTATAACACGTAGTTATACCTAGTTGTACTTACGAAAGGAACAGCCAAAATCTATCTGTGCCACCGTCGAGAGTGGCATAGCGTAGGGTAATAAAGGTTCGCATATGCTCTGTAGGTTGAGGAGGAAGCTTTTCTATTCCCAGTGGCAAAGAGGCTCCCTTGATCATGCTTAATCTACACTACTTGGTACTCTCTCTGCCTCTCTCTACCTAGTTGTTTGTACAAGTAAGTTGTAGCACCTACTTCACGTCGTTGCTTGCGTGCGTATTCCGTGCTCCGTAGGGACATCAATCGGGACATCACCGTCGGTGAGTGAGGCTGAGGCTGAGTGGAGCTGAGGATGGATGGATGGCATGCGGCTGGAAAAGCTCAGGCTAATAATAGGGCAGAGAGTAGGGTAGAAGGTAACTAGTTGGACCTAGGAAGGTAGGTGTTTAGGTCCCTTGCTTACGAGATCCTCCAGGAGAAGGCTAGATAGAGTAAGACTATAGATATATCTCTTCTCCTGACTCGCCAACATCCACACGGGGAGGAGATAAATAGGTAGGTGTTGTACTGTACTAAGCTACTATACCGGTAGTAACTATAGTATGTTATAGTAATGCTATTACAGTAACTATAGCTACTACCTACTGTAGCTTCCATACTTCTAGTAGCTATATTAACTACGGAGTAACGTAACTATAGTAGCTACTATACTACCTATACTATATCCTCTACTTACGGAGTAGTCCGTCCGGATGATCCACGAGCCACGTCCTGCTCCGTCCAACAGATCAGTGAGCTTGGACTGCTCTGACTATTTTTGGACCTTTGGATCAAACGATAGTCCCTTTTGGGGACGCAGGCCCTCCCTTCTAGGACATGACATCGGGACGAAATCGGCACGAACCCAGTCGAGAATGACAGTAAGCCGACGATATCGCTGAAGCCGGACCTGAGATTATGGGAGGTGACGAGATGGATGACACGAGATGAGATGGATTGAGAAGAAATTGAATTGAAATGAGAAGAATAGAGACGGATTGATTGATGTAGTAATAGCCTCGCTGATATCCGAGCCCCAGTTTGAAACATAGCGCGGGCTGCCGGCGTCGAATGCAGAGAGAGATATTGCTTGCATAGCTGTCGGGGTAGAAACGTCGTTAAATGCCACTATGTCTCGCTCGAGATGGGTTATCCAGAATTCCTCCATCAATATCAACCGTCCGCTGCCCACTTATATATGTATTGAGCCACGTGAACAGGAGGCGGAGGGAGGAAACCTAACGGAGTAGTCCAATGAGACAGACGCACGTCGGAGCCCATTCCTATCTGCAGCTGCAACACGCGCCGTCTTCAACCGCATCTCTCGCAGCAGCGACAGAAGCAACGACGTGCATACCTCTCGGAGCCCACCGCGTAGAGTCCGTATTCCGTACAGATGCAAGAACCGCTACCATCCCCGAGCTTGGCATCATTTATTGTTCCGATTCATCCATTGTTCGGATCCATCCATCGTTCTGGTATCCGTCAATCTTTCAATCAGTACGAAGCTGAGAAACTGTAGCCGAGCGAACGAGCGAGGATCAGTCAGTGCCCTCGCTACCCCTGAGTACTGCATACGGAGTAGACGTAAACACGAACTTGCTTTACAGTAGCGAGCAGTAGTCGCCTGGGCCGCCCTTCCGGACGATTGTTTCTTTTACTACGTATGTTGGCTAAACTATTCCTTTCCGTTGGGAGAAAAGAAAATGTTCAAGTATCAAGTACAACGTCGTAGTAGGTAGGTACCGGTACTGCACTGCACTCTACTGAATATTGATTCAATCCTACTACCCCCTGCTCTGGCCCGGGAGCGGTGATGAGAAGGGATGGATGGCTGGTCGAGACTCGAGAGACTCATTGCCACGATCCCCCTCCAAGACTCAAGAGGTTACTAGGAGACATCGGGGATTCGGGTCGGCTAGATCGCAGAACGAACGGGAAAGCTTGAAAGCTCTCCCATCATGCCGAGTAGAGACAATTTATACAGAAGTACTACTCAGTAGTGAACAAGTGAATGGCACCTAGGCTGAGATTTCTCCAGTAGGAGAAAACATTCACCAAACATTAATAAGACGAAATCAATCAGACGAGCAGATCAATCAGTAGGAAGAATTTCAACCCCACCCCTATCGCGACCTGCAGTGGTGCCAGCGTGATATAAGCTGCAGGACAAGTCCCGGGTCCTTGTTTATCTGGAGGGCTCGAGAGCAAAAGCAAAGGCAAAGGCAAATAGATGTTGAGAGGTGCCTTATGGAATTCAGACCACTCCAGCACGCCCGGAACCGAACCCATGGCTTCTCCCTCCAACATAGGATTCTCTCCTCCTTCTTGTCTGCATCCGTCCGATCATAAACCATTCCCGCAGTCCGTAGAAGTATGGACTTCCATGATGCCCTGCGAAAAAACAATACCGGTTCTCGTCTTCCCACCTATCGCCCCAATGATATTCCCTTTGTTGGCGGCAGAAATGCGCACGGCGGCTCACTCTGCACCGACAGTGAGAAGCATGAGAGACAGGCGTGCAGCTTTAATCAAAACCTACCCAGGCCGACCTCTACGTCCACGCCCAGGTCGGCGGCAGGTGTAGAGGAAGAAGTAAAAAAAAAAGCTCCTCGAGCTACCGTACCGCCGCAATATCCTGCGTACTTTCCTCCGCCCGAGTTGTCAGGACCACGAGCACAATCCGAGCCACCTGGCAATCCAAAACCAGGTCCCAATCCCAATCCCAATTTCAACCTCAACCCCAACCCAGAACTTGAAGCCAGAGGCAGACCATCGATGATCAGCCACCAAAGAGGTCTGTTCTGTGAACCATCCGAATCGGCGATGGTCGATGCGGATTCCACTACAAACACTTGGGTCGCCCAGCAACAGGCGGCGCCCTCGGGTCACCAGCCAGGAGAAGAGCGGCGTCACTCTCTAACAGAACCTGCGCCAGCCGCAGCACGTCCTTTCATACGACCCATCCGCGGTTTCAAGCTTTCCTCACAGCGCAAAAGCATCGAAATGGCATCTCGACGCACCTCGTACAGCGACACTAGCAACACACTGCGGGCGCTGGAGGGAGGCCATGACACCCCATACTACCATGCGCCGCGTCATCCAGAACAGCAGGACGAGTTCAACAGCGACGAGAGCGATTTGTTTCTACGGGCAGCGCGCGACGAGGAGCTGCACGCCGGGGAAAGTATGAACAATAATGACGCTCCAGGTCGAGCAGCCAGTTTCCGGGCGAGAGTCTTGTCAGGATCATCCACGTTATGCCTACAATATCCAGAGGTTCGTGATCGTCCTACAACGTGGTACATCTTTCAAGCTCTCCCGCCAGCATGATTGCGGAAGCTGCAGAAGCACATGCCCGTGGATTCATCCCATTTACTGATCCTCTCTAGTCTCGACCTAGCCAACGCGCTTCACTACCCTCTATTACCAGCACCTCTACTCCTCTCCACCCCTCAACATCTCGCCGTCGCGGATCCGATCAAGACTCAACTGTAACTGGGAAACGCATAATGTCCGAACGAGAGAGCATTGCCCACACATCAGCCTACCGCCCGGTGGGCAGGGACCGCCCAGCGGCCCTGGAAGATCCGAACAGCAGCACTCATAACGTGGTCCCACGGTCAACACCCAGGGGCTCAGGGGCCAGAGAGATCTCACCCGAACAAACGCCTTACAGTAATGATCGACGATCTATTCCGGATGCTACTCAGCTATCACGACCGTCTTATCGACAAGCGAATATGTCATTTGCGATCCCTCGAATCTACAACTCGTCCCCGCTGGTATCTCGTACAACAGACATGCACGGGGGTTCTGAGACACCTCGTGCAGCGGAAGGCACGGAATCAACAATTTCTACAACGGCGCCATCAACCGTGTGGGACGAATTGGAGGATCTTAAATCACGGATACACAGATTGGAGTTGACTGGGAAACTACCCTCTACTTCCGGAGCTGCCATGTCTCGAGCCTCTCACGACAGGCCCCCAACGGCTACGACCGTCACTACCATGTCATCTTCTCCAAAACAACGTGGTCGTGGCAATAGCATCTCCCCCGTCGAGCCTGCCGCTCAACCATCCCCTCCCGAAATACATCCCCTGCTACACGCGGCATTGGCCAAATCGAAACATCTCCTCAGTTCGGAGGTGTACAAGGCTTTGGAGGCTGCAGCCACGGATGCGCTTGCCATTTCCTCCATGATGGGAGTTTCGGGCCAACCAGGACCTATCTCAACTTCGCAATCTACAACCGGCGGCACCTCATCCGTTTCCGATCGACAGGTTCGACGAAAGGCTGATAGCATGTGTCGGAGTTTGACAGAATTATGTCTCGCTCTTTCGGAAGGGCAAGGGCAGGGAGAGACTACAACGCCGGTGATCAACCACCCTGTGGTACGACCTGCCGGTAGTGCCACTCATAAGAACGAACTGCGTGCCAGCATCGAGTCCGACAATACCCAACGTCAATTGGTGACAACGGATCTTTCTCGAGCTAGCTCCACCCCGAGAGCATTGAGTCGGTTAGAGGCCCGAAGAAGCAGTCTCCTTGCCACGACTGCTCTGCCTAGCCCGCGATTTAACTCCTCGGAAGCAGGCACTCCTACACCGACTTCGTTGGCTGGGCGTCGAACATCGCTTTTTTTCAGACCTCGCCGTGCTGCCACAGAGGAACCAGAAGAATCAGAAGAGGCTCGCTTCCGTGCGCCGTCAAGGGCAACAACTGAACTTGGCCGTGTTAGACAATCCCCGACTTCTCAAGCCGAACAGTCTTCGCTACCAGTCCGAAGACAATATCAGACTACGAGTCAAACCAACAACATTCCCCCCCCAAAGCCACCGGTTTCGATGCTGGGGGGGCGGAGGTTCCTGGGCCTATCAACACCCGATCGGGATACGACAAGCGTTGTAGGGAGACTGGCCGAGGATCGGGGACAGCAAAGACACACTTCTATGGGCCACGGTAACTTCCAACTTGGCAGAAGCGGCAGTCTCAGTAGACGAGCCAGAACACCAAACTCGGCTGATTTGTCAGCGGCCCGGCTCGGAAATTACGAGTAATTGAAACTCAGAAAACACCCTTGTTGTACCGGATATCTTGTTTTGGAGTTTTGGGAAAGGGGGTCAGTGGGGGAGTTTGCCGGAAGCCTTTAATTTCGTTTTCCTTTCCCGGTAGCATTACATAACCATGCTTGCCAGCATCCATCGGAAATGGGGCATTTTCGAGATACCCAACATTCAACACACAGCGCACAGTGTGAAACGCAGGCGTGGAAGATGAATGAAACACAGGGAGAGAGAGAAGGAAGGAAGAAAGGAAGGAAACAAACGGCGAATATGACGAAATGGGCACACAAACGACGACGGGAGATGGCTTCGATGTACATATACATGTTTTGGCTGGCCCCTTTTGCCTTTTTTTTTTCTTCGCCTTGTTGCCCTTTTTTTGCTTTACTCGCGCGCTGCGAGTGTGTGTGCCTGGCCCCGAATGGAACGGAACGGAACGGAACGGATAGATGAGGATGGAGAGAGAGAGAGAGAAAGTGAAAGCGGGGTTCAATGTGGTGGTGGCGCTAGTGGTGCTGGTGGGACTTTTTGTACTGTACATTAGCTACTTACTTAATGCTGTGCTGCCGTGCTGGAGACGGTCTCCTCTGTTCCTCTGTTGTTTCTCCAGCCATCTGGATTGATTATATATATATGTATTACATCTGCGCCTCATGTGATATTGTAGTGTAGTGTAGTGTAGAGCAGTGCTGTGAGTGTAGTGTGACTTGAATTTGAGATAGAGATAGAATATGGATATTCACGCGGAGATGGATGTAACTCTGAGCTGAGCTGAGCTGAGCGAGGTTCTGGTTCTGGTTCTGGTTCTGGTTCTGGTTCTGGTTCTGGTTCTGGTGAGCCCGAGCCAGCTGGCGTGGGATTGTGTGCAGGCTCGTAGGTGGGTAGGTAGGTAGGTAGGTAGGTAGGTAGGCTTTCTGGTCTCCTTTTCTCGGGAGCTTCCCTTTCCTACCTGAGCTGGTGTTTTATCTATCTATCTATCTATGCATGATGAGATGTGTTGTGTTGTGTTAATTCGGAGGCTCTCGGCGTAGAGAGGTACCTACCTACTTACCTACCTAGTCAAGGCTCATGTGTACTCACTTCACCAACGGTTTCTTTTTCACCACCACCACCACCACCACCAGAGCCTCTTCCACTCCGGCCGCTCCCCCTCTGGGAAAGCGTACCTCCTCTCTCTCCATTACCACTACCTCGCCCTCGCCCTCGCCCCCTCGGGCCCTTCCCTGCCGGAGCTCTCCGCGCCTTGACCTCCTCCGGTAACTCAGCGACCTGTTTCCCCTCCTCCCAGAGCACACCAACACCCTTCTTCCTCCCCTCAACCTTCGTCCAATACTCCATCCGCAGCACGCCCTCGGCGTCTCCCTCCGTGAGAACGACCCCGTTCTCGCTCATCCACCACAGCACGGCGCCGTCCTGCAGGCTCCGCTTGATATCGACGTAGATCAGCAGCTCTGCATCGCTCCGCATCCCGCTCACCACGGCGGCACCGGCACCGGCAGCACCGTCGCCCCCCGACGGCAGGCCCGTACTGAAGTGGATGTGGTTCCGGCCCATGCGCTTCAGGCCGCCGGACGCGACGATGGCCGCGTAGCTCGCAAAGTACGTGCCGTGCACCACGACGTCGGGCACGTTACCCGCGGCTAGCGTGATGGGCGTCAGCAGGGCGGCCGAGGCGACGGCGGCGATGCTGTGGCCTTGGTTGGCGCGGATCAGCCAGTCGGCTGGATCGGCTGACGACGACGACGACGACGACGACGACGACGGCTTGCTGCACTTCAGGGAGAAGCGCTGCTTCGCGTTGTCGGAGACGACGGCTTGGATGTCGGCGAATGTGACCTGGAGGGATCGCAGGCGGGGCCATTGCATCTGTTGGTTGGAGGGGGGGATGTCAACATGTCAGTCGAAAAGAGTAGTTTTTTATATATATATATGTATTTTTAAAAAAAATTACATTATTATAAGTTCCATAACCATAGCATTGGGAAAGAAAGAAAAAGGTCATGTGAGGACTTACGACTTGCTCCACGCTCGCGAAGCCCTCAGCGTCGAGCTTCAGACCCGCCTCTTCAGCCGCGTGCCTCAGCAGTTTCGAAAGCGCTTTCGAGACGGCCACTTCTCTGTTCTTCTCTCCTCCTCCTCCTCCTCCTCCTCCTCCTCTCCCTCCTCCTCTCCCTCCTCCCCTCCCTCTCTTCCCACCTCGGTCACCCCTATTCCCCCGCTCACCAACACCAGCCCTTTTCCCAGTCGTCTCCATAGACTCCACCAACCCAGCCACGTTTTCCGTTTCCTCCATTTCTTCCATCTTCTCCGCCCTTTCCATCCTCCCGTGCCCGTGACCCCCGCCGTGAGATGATGATCGTCTCCGAGGAATCCCAGCCTTGGCCGCGACGGCAGAGATACCAGCGTATCCGCGTCTCGGTTTCGGTGTCAATTCCAATTCCAATTCCAATTTCGATCTCGATCTCGATTTCGATAGTGGCGAAGGAGTGGGAGCGGGAGCGGGAACGAGAACGAGGCCGAGGGCGAGAGGAGCGGCTCTTCTTCGCATGTTCTGTTCCTGCGTGCAAGAGGGCGAGGGAAAGAAGAAGGAGGGGATGCACGATGTGCACGTGAGGAAATATCATATTAATTAGTGCGGACGCAGTAACTAGTGGGCTCGCTAACGAGGTACCTAAAGGGAGGACTCTGACCCGAAGACAAGTCCTCCGGGATATTCGTACATTATTACGGAGTTTTTACTACTACTAGTAATCTTGCACGAAAAAGCTCTCGCTGAATTTACAAATAATTAGATGGGCTGAAGCGTATCGCGTCAGTGTAACCTACACATCACTTATCAGTTTCACCTGGAAAAGAAAGCAATACAAGGGCGAATCGATCAAGTCGCGGCCGCACCAAACTACGTGTGGAAAAGCATTGTCTTGTTCCTCTACTCCTTCCTATCCCTACCGCCTGCCACATACAGAAGAGTCTTGATATCAGACCGTACAAACGCAGAAAATCGTGAAGTAGTCTCGCTATCCCATGAAAACCATTCCCAGCAAACACAACCAGCCCGGTGTAAGTATCCTGCGCATAGCCAGCCCGTGATCCGAGACCCCCTCGTAGATAACATCCTAACTCCCGAACCTCGTAACATCGTCAATTGCAATTGGCACATGCCTGGCCTGTCGCAGGCAGCGAGAAAACCTGGAAACGCCGGCTCAGAGCTTAATGAGCTTAGCGGCATCTTCCTGCGAGCCGGGTAGGCTGGTCTCGTCCCATTTCCGCTTCTTATCTTCCTCGCCAGGGCTCTCCCCTAGTCTGTGTCTCTCGATGTTCTCCATGAAAGAGTAGACAAGCTTAGCCACCTCCTAGTCATCACAAAGTCAGTGGGATTTCCCGGGGAAATGGACGTGAGTCCATGGATCCTGCTCATGACTGACCTCTTTTGCATTCTTCTTGCCAAAGACATTGGTAACCTGACCGACCTTCCCCTCGATGCGCGGGTCGCCTCCGAAGTCAGCAAAGCCGTCCCATAAAGGGCCAGGCATATCCTTCACCGCAGAAGTGATGTTGTAGCGAGGGGGGGTGAAACCAAGGCGAGAACATATCTCTGGGACCCGAGTAGTGTAGGAGGTCGTTCCCCCGCCTGGGCTCTTCGGCCTGGCTGCTGGGACAGGTGGCGTAGCAACTTTGGGAAACTTCACACCGCCGTCGGCTGGCATGTGGCCGTTCTCAATCAGCCATTCGACAGCTTTCTTGGCCGCGTACTTCTTGGCCAGCTTCTTGCTGCTGAACGAGATGGCCTTGGTGGTCAAGCCCCCAGTATCGTTTCCGAAGGTCTCCTCGCTCTCACTGATGGCCAAGGTGCATCTGAACCGTGGGATGACATCGGCCGTCTGGTTCTCGACCCAAGTGAGGCCCTTGTCTACACCCGCAATGGGATGAGCATCCCGATATTCTGATCACATATTCAGCGAAGGGATCTCTCGCCATGGTTTTCAAATCAGTCAGTCTTACGCTGGATGAGCCCAATCCAATTCTTCTCTCCCAAGTCCACGTTGGCGAGTCTCTCGCTAGCATCAGCCTCAAGATCGACCGGATCTATGACCTTGTTGGCGATGGAAGGCGCTGCTGCTGGCTTGACGTTTTCATTGCGCTTCTTGGCAGCTTCGGTTTCCTTGGCCTTCTTCTCTACCTCTGCTACCCATTCATCCATGTCGTGGAATTGCAGAGTCATGGCCGAGGCCGAGGCCGGGGTGGTCTGGGTCATTTCAGCCATTGTGAGAGGTGGGATTTTGGGGACGTCGAGATGATCATACATAACCATGAGGAGGGAGCAAGACGGAGGGAAAGGGAGGGGAAGGGAGGGAGAGGTCGGGAGATTTTGTCGCCGGCGGGGTGCAGGAGCAGGGATGCTCGGATTAACTGTGGAGTGGCCTTCGATCTCGGTGAAGGTGAGGGTGAGAGTGAGGCTGAGGCTGAGGCTGAGGTTGAGGCTGACGGGCGACCGTAGTTGTTATAGTTGTATTTGTAGTTGTACTGGACAGGAGAAGGAGATGGTGCAACTCGTGTTCCTGCTCGGCGGACACTACTATCGCCTGTGCCTAGAAGTTACCGACGACTTGTGGCGGCGAGATACGCTGCTTAAACTGCCCTTCTTCTTCAGCGTGGGTGCTGGTGTTGTCGGGTCCAGGGGGATATCGTAGGTATCATGATTCAAGAATTCAAAATTGTCATTACGAAGGACCGGACGGGGAGGATCTGCGCGTTGGTACCATTCATAATCGGAACCAGGCGAGGGCTAGGTCTACCGGTAGTAGGCTCCGTCAAATGGTAGGAGTAGGCGAGGTTAATCTTGTGCAGATTCTCCATTGATCTGAGGAGCGAGCTTCTTTGCTCTGCTCTTTCCTACTCGCACTTCCTGAAGCCGGTCCAGTCCATTAGGTGAACTGCTTGGCGGTGCCCGGCTGCCAGAAGCCGTCGCAACGACCTCCTTGGATCCGTATTTTCCCATGCCTGCCAGAGAGAACTACAAGAGAGAACTCGGTGGCAGGCATGGGAGAACGAACCCACTGAGGAGTACCGGTAGACTTGGTAGCGCGAACTCTGAGCAGAAGGAGGATTGATTAATAAGCCGAATTCCACCTCAGATCGCGGCAACGGCAACGGGAACGGGAGCGGGAGCGGGAGCGGGAACGGGAAGAGGCAGGGAGGGCAGGGGGCTGGGCCACTTACGAAACAAGCCATCTTGATGGTGGAGGCGCGGGGGGAACTTCGGTAGTTCCTCCGCCGCCGGTTGAACTTCGGATGTAAGAGAAAAGTCTGGGCTCAGGAGAGAATTTCCAAAGATAAGGCCGTTGTGGGGAAGCCTGAGGCAGCAGTCTCAAAGCGGCCCAGCCTTGACGCTAGCCTAGGCCCCACAGAGCCTCAGACATCATGGGACTGTATCGCGCAGAGACGGTCGTGGCCATTCACCGCGGGAGATTTAGTAGGTACGGACGGAGACAGAGAAAGAGCTCTCTATGTTCTAAATCATCTGTTTTGTAACCAGTTGTATGAATTACAGCTTATGCTATAACATTGCATTTCTTATACGTGCGACGGAAAAGGGTTACTTCATGTAATGCCCAACCGTGCAAATTCCCCCCCTTTAGCATTATGAAGGGCCCGTTTGGTTCAAAGCCAGTTTGTACAAACTGAGGGGCTGCCCGGCCTTTGGTTCAGACCTGCTTGGTAAAATCGACTACACAAACTCGGTTTTACAAACTGATTCGCCACCTCATACAAATCCGTACAACCTATGCCGTCACCTTCTTTCTGACCTGACTGTTTTAGATTATCAATTTGTACAAACCATACCATACAAACTACGGAAGAGTTTGTACAGACCCGGTTTTTAAGCCGGTTTGTACAAACTGGCTTTGAACACCTCACAGCTCGAAGAAGCCACCATCACTTCCACCGTCTCCAGCATCCGTACCATGTCCTTGGGCGCTATCATGAGGCTCCTTCGCCTTGGCTTTTCCCCTCGAGTCCTGAATTCCCAGAGCCTTCCTTCTTTGCCGTCGGTTCAGGCCAGTTGTATCGATTGGAGGAGGTACCGGCTCCGATCGCGATCTCAACTTAGACTTGAGAGGCTTGCTTTCTACTGTCTTGGCAATTTTGACAGGCGCATTTGATCTGCGATTCCGCAATCGATCCAAAGTTCCCTCTTCCATAGCTCTTTCCACCTCTGCCCATATTGCCGGCTTGGGTCTTTCCTTGTCCGTCTTGTTGGTGTCTTCTTCCTCGGAACCTGCAGGTGGGTAGAGTGATATATATCTCTCACTGAGCGGGTGGTATTGTGTGTAGTTGAGGTCAACTTCCACAATGTGCATCTGAGCCTTCAAGCTCTCTACCTCCTCCGTCGACTCCGTCGACAATAAACGCTTCCGCAGCTTCTTCAATTGTCTCGTAGCCTTCTGGCGCTCTGTCAAGTATTAGCGGAGCTCGCGCATGCAAGGTATCGAGATATACCAAAGAATCGAACCATGTGGTACTTCTTGATCATCTTCTGTCTAATCTTTTCCGCCTCGGCCTCCGCGTACTCCTGCTGGTATGCTGCGAGAGCACGCTCATCCTCGAGCTTCTTCTCTGCAGAGGAATATTCAGTTCGCTCGAGCTTTCTCGTGACATCTCGCATTCGCTTCTTGATAGCATTGACGCTCGAGGCATGCATCTGCTTCTTGTATTCTGCAGGCTGCTCGAATCGACGGGACTTTTTGGCGGGTTTCGGGATGCTCCCCGGCACTTGGAATTGTCGCGAGGGATGAACAACTTCTGGGGCCTCGGACTCCTCATATTTCCTCTTGGGAGCCATTGTGGCAGTCTTGTCTGTTTCTGTGATTAGTCGTTTGTTCGTATTTGTCGATTTTCGTAGTTGTCGACAGTCACTTTGCGTGAGGGTTCAAACTATCATAGTAAATATTATTAGTGTCGGCAGAACTACACCGCTATGTACACCTGACCTGGCCTGCTAAGAGTCAGTTCAAGCTCAATTTATCCCATCGTTCTCAATGACTGCTCGTAAGTATAAGCAATTTTCCATCAACTTTAACTGAATCAATTCAAGACCTCCATAGCTCAGGCTATGCGGTGATTTCCCTTGAGACTATACGATCTACGAGCCTGTAGCTTCAACAGCACAACAACATGCTGAATTGGCCTTCAGCTTCCCGCTTCCAGAGTGCGAGAAGAGAGGGAGCTCAGGAATATCTCGATTTCTGAGTATACTTTGCTATCATGGATCGAAATGAAGGCATCATCAGATGGTCTCCGAACCAGTCTCGAGACGAATTCACAACCTTCAATCTCAACAATAAAGTATGCTATCTGTTCAGAGCCACGGGACATGCTCAACCTGGTCGCTTCGACTACAAGAGGATCTCAAAACATACCGAGCTTCCAGCTGTCAACACCTATGACTGGTCACCAACGATTGGAGGACTTGTTGCTGTTGGTACTGCCCATGGGGAAGTCAGTCTATTGAGAATCGACGACAACTCAAATGCTTGTCTCACACTCCCTCTGAAGCTACAACGACCATGCCAATCGGTCTCATTCAACACCACCGGACTCCTTGCTGTTGGGCTGGATAGGGTCAGAAACGACTCTTGCCTTCAAGTATGGGATGTGAACCAACGGCTCGGGGATTGGGATTCTCATCAAAAAGGATGGAATGTCCAAAGCATGAACATAGAACCAAAGAAGAAGCTCGAGGGCAGCACTTCCATAACGAGCATACGTTTCTATGAAGATCAGCCACAAACCCTGATTGCTGGGGTCAAGAATCAAAGCGTACGAATCCACGATCTTCGAGGTAAATGAATCGCCGCCTATCTGTCTGAGTTTTACTGACGATATCAGACCCAAGCTCTACCGTGATAAACTTCCAAACAAGGTGTAATAACAACCTTGCAATTGATTACACAGATCCCAATTACTTTGCTTCATCCAGTCTAGATCAGCCTGGGCTAGTGGTATGGGATCGACGCGTGTCAGGTCGTTCGACTGTATCACCGATGTATCTTGAATCTTTTGACCAGGAAGAGATGCCATGGGGTGCTGTGTTGAAACTTGACCGTGCGATCCAAGTGGATAAAAATACATTTGTCAAGCAGCTTCGCTTCTCGCGCGAACAGCGCGGAGCTCTGGGAGTTTTGTCAACTGCTGGCCAGCTCCAGATTCTTCAAACGAAAAAGGAATATGTGGAGCCGGGCTCGGCGAATGACGTTCGTGATAGCCCTGAGCTGCTTGAGATCAAGAAGTCTTATGACCTCGAGTACCCCTTTTTCGAGCACAATCATAGAAGGAAATACGAGCATCGAATTGTGTCTTTTGACTGGCTAAATCTTGGTACATCCGAACTTCAAGGGCGCGTCATTGCGCTTAGAGCGAATGGGGAGTTCGAAATCCTGCAGATGCCGTCTTCAACAGCGAGTCAACTCTCTCAATTGATACCGTGGACGCCACCCCACCATGGTAATTCCCATAATGTTGCATTGATGCCATCCTTTGCTGACGATTGCAGCCGGCGACTCATACCTTAACCTGATGCAATTTGCGGATCCTATTGAGCAAGAGAAAGTCCTTGGTCCATTATACGCTACCGCCGCCAAAGCTGCTACTCCCGTATTTGGACCTGATAAATTTACGAAGAGAGTCACGATAAATTCTCTAAGCTATGAGGTCCAGAAAAGTCTAAGCTCGACGGATGACCCAGTCGTCGATCTCCTGGCGCCGTCAGATTCAGGAATGGGCGTATCGGCAAGTACAACCAGCGAAGCCGAGTCACTAGGGGACGACTTTACCCAGCTACAAGTAGAGCCGAAAGAGAGCAAACACCTGCCAAGCGCCGCAAATAGGATGCCTGATTCTGGTACCCACAAGCCTCTTTCCTCGAGTAGAGAGTTGAATGACCAGGCACACTATTCAGCGCTCAGCAGAATCCCGATCTCCAAATCTAGTCGGGAACAGCTTGACCATGTCATGCTTCTCCGTGTTATCGATGGCTATCTTTTTGATCCTATCCTAAACCAAAAAGCCGTCGCAGATGACAACTGGCTCCAAGATGTATGGAAATGGATCGCAGGTACGCCATAGAGTCCCTCTCCCGTGTTAGTCTGACGCCGAATACAGGCGCCGAGGAGGCAGCACATGATGACGCCATGGTCTCGCTGCCCCTGGACCTTAGTTACCTTGGGGTACACACAGTGTGGATGAATAAGCTCGGTACGTCTTCTCCGCATTGACATCCCCTTAAACGCTGACCACGAGCAGGTGAAAAGTCCAAGTCTCGCTTGGTCGACAGTACAGTGATCCCTGACGGGGTACAATGGGAGCGCCTTATTGCAGTCATAAACAAACGAGCTGGGCGTCCTAGTTTTGAGGGCGTCCAAACAGCAAGACCGCACCATAGACAGCTATGTCTAGCGATCTGTGGTCTCCTCAGATCTCCAGACGAGCTCGAGGAAGACTTGGTGACCTTTGAACAATCTGGAAAACACACAACAGCCGCAGCTATGGCACTCTTCGAAGGCATCCCCAAACGCGCGGTTGAAATCTTGAAACGCGGAGGCACTGATCTCCTCTTTGTCGCCATGGCGCTTGATATCAAATTGAAAAGCCCAACTGCCCTCGATCTTGACGGTTCCGAGTGGAGTAAGGCTCTCGAAAGCCACCCGCGGATGGGCGAGGACCCGTATCTCCGTGCCATTTATGGCTACATTACGACCGGAGACTGGACGGCGATTGCAGACTCGACTTCTCTTCCGCTCCGAGACCGTGTGTGGGTGGCTTTGAAAAACTTCCCCGATCAGAAGCTCTCAGAATGGCTTACCAAGGAGATGGAGGAGGCCACCCGGACGGGCGACATCGAAGGAATCGTGCTGGCAGGTATAACCGACAATATGGTAGACATCCTTGCCAAGTACGTCGAAAAATTCATGGACTACCAGACACCAATTCTCATCATGTCGTTCTGCTATCCTCGCTATATCGACGACATTCGTTGCGACGCCTGGCGAAGAGCATACATGGACTTCCTCCAACGTCACAAGCAGCATATTTCCCGAGTCAGGTTTCATCAGCAGTCGACAATAAAGAGCCGTTCTCGAGATGGTAGGCCAGTCATCAAGCCCGCACCTCGACAAATCACGATCCGCTGCCTCAATTGTGAGACCAGCACAGCCAACGATCTTGGAAACACCGGCATCTTGGCCGATCCAACTCGTCCTGTCTCATCCTCTAAGATGGACAAACGTAATCCACTCACCTCGAGCGGAATCAACGGGGGCCTCTGCTGCCCGAGATGTGGCTCTCATCTTCCCCGGTGTGCGATCTGCATGGAGTTCGTGGGCATGCCTCGCTCAGATCGCCCCGAGATATCGACGGACCATAGTATCAAGCGAATGGCCAACTTTCCCACCTTCTGCCTGAAGTGTAAGCATGTGCAACACATGGCTCATGCCATCGCGTGGTTTAAGAGGCATAACGAGTGCCCGGTGCCGGAATGCCAGTGTCCCTGTAACGAAGTGAAATGTGGACAGAGGGGGTGAAAGTAATGATATGGATGTTTTGGCGTGTCAGTAGTAGGTAGAGCTTTTAGACTTGGCCATATATGCCCTTGTCTTGTCTTTCACGACTTGACTTCTTGATCTACCATTTATATATAAGCTGGCATTCTCCGAGTCCAGGGAATCAATTGGGAGCGGGCGTTGAGTGGGTGGGTCGACATACATAACCCCCCTAATGCAGAGTATGTACCTACCTGGGGCACACATACATTTTTGACTTCTGATATGATATGAGACGTCAACTGCATATATACACACATACATACATACATACCCAAGAACCCTCTTGGTCTTTTTTTTCTTTCTTTTTTTTTTCTTTTACCCTTTCACTTTCTTCCTTTCTTCTTTTCCCCTATTCTTTTCTTCCTCCTTTCTTTTCTTTTCTTTTTCCTTTCTTTTCTTTTCTTTTTCTTTTCTTTTTCTTTTCTTTTTCTTTTCTTTTTCTTTTCTTTTTCTTTTCTTTTTCTTTTCTTTTTCTTTTCTTTTTCTTTTCTTTTCTCCCTTATTCCC